GCAACCAAACGCTAATATTGTCATGCCTGCCGCTGAAAGAGAGCTTAACGAGCTCTGATGTGCGTCTTCTTACGTCGTCCCCGCAGGCAATGTCGTCCAATATGAGGAGTGTCTGTGTATCTTTAGGGAATTGTCTATGCAAAAACTTCAAATGCCCCGATAACTCGTTAGGGTCTAAGATATCTACAAAGAAGTCGTCATCTTTCACTCCTATGCCCGTCCAGGTGCGGTTATTCACGTAGGTGGGGCAAAGCAGTACTATGTAGTCGAAACGGTATCTAAAGGGTCCTAATAGTTGCTCTATCACGAATTGGGTCTTTCCGCAGCCGGTAGGCCCTACTATCAGAGCGTTACAAGGCATGTGATCTGGGTTCATTTATATCCCTTCTCTCGAAGGGAACTTGTTCCCTGGTATATATGGAGCCCGTGGAAGCAGTCAAAGCAATGGTTAACGTCGTCAAAGAAAAGTCAGACCTGGAGAGGACGGTCGAAATGCAAAGGGAGGAGATAGACCGGTTGAATGGACGCGTAAAGGAGCTATATGAGGAAATGTGCGGTCTGAAGCGCTCTGAGCGGTTTGGCGCGCTGATAACTATGGCAACGTGGGCCAAGGAGTCAGTTGTGGACTTTATGAAATACCCAATCTAATGTTAAGATATGGTTGTCATTTTGTTAAGGAAGGTCGGAAACCCTCCTAGAAACCCCCTCAGAATGTTAAATGGAGGTTACAATATTGTTAAGGAAGGTCGGAAACCCTCCTAGAAACCCTCCTAAAATGTTAAATGGAGGTTAAAATATTGTTAAGTATATATGGACTGCTTGAAATGTAAGAAGGTATTTAGTACCAAACAAAGACTGCAATACCATGTTTGGCATGGAGTTTGCACAAAGAAGCCAATCAGTAAGGTCTGCAATGACTGTAATAGGGAGTTCAGCACTCTTCAGAAGCTGCAGTACCACGTCAAAAAGGGCGTTTTCCGTAGAACTACGCAGTGTAGTTACTGTGCTAAGGTCCTTAGTAGCCGCCAACGTCTTCAGACACATAAGAAAAGACATGAGAAGAGTTACCAATTCTTTGCAGAGAAGTACGATCTGGAAGGAGTGGATTGTTACCAGTGCGGCGATCTTATGAGTCGTTGTGAACATAAGGATGATTACCTAAGGAATCAAATAGACTACTTTAGGAAGCTAAGCAGGACGCTACCCCGTTTCGACGCGTTAGAAGGTGTCCCATGGACTAACAGGGAATATTGGAGGCAGCAATGTGAGAGATGTGGATGTGTAAGAGAGGAGGAACACATATTCAACTGTCTCTCAACAAAGTCTTAACCTCTATTTAACATTCTAGCGTGGTTTCCGGGAGGGTTTCCGGCCTTCCTTAACAAAGTCTTAACCTCTACTTAACATTCTGAGGCATTTCTCAAAGGAGTTTGATGGGGTCCTTAACGAAGCCTTAACCACCATTTAACATTCTGGGATGGTTTCTAGGAGGGTTTCCGACCTTCCTTAACAAAGTCTTAACCACCATTTAACATTCATCCTTGAATATATGGACTGTATTACATGTGAACCCCCCGCAGACTGCATCGTTAAAAAAGAGTCGCCGACCCTCATTGTCGACGAACCCCACTTAAACGACGCGCCTAACCACATAGAGGCAAAGGAAGGACGCACTTTGCGACGTCAAAGGCCCAGCGGCCATCCTTCTTCCCATACGACCTCAGATGCGTGAACTCCTGTCCTTCGATGACGTAACGGACGCGATCAGGCGCCCACAGGCTGTACGTGACACCCTCGTGCGCCAATAACAACCGTAGCCTGTCAATATCTTCAAAGGCTACGTAATTTTTTTATTTCATAATTAACACCCTCCTTTAAATCTCGCCAGTGTATCTGCTTTACCGCGTTAAACGTCATATATTCTATGGAATATCTTTAAATGCGTCCTTAGAGTCTGCGTGCTTTTAAAGCGCTTGCAGCACCACCTACATGGTAAACGCATTCCTCGTGCATATTCTGTGATACTTCTACAGATGTCGTCGTAGTCGTTGCTGATCATTACTTTATAACCATTCTGCTCATACCGCTGCAGCAGCAGGCGTTGGTCCTCAGATAATACCCCGTTGCCTTTAGGAGTCTTCAGCTCTATGCAGAAACCACGGTATCGCACGTGTGCATTAAGGATTAACAAGTCGGGCTGGCCGCGTTGATATCCCTTCTGCCAACACATTATGCGTTTGCCGTCGGAGTCCTGCAGTTCGCCTAGACCAGGAGTCACGAGCATTTGGGGATAAAACCTGCGGATGTAATCCACCACCTTTTTATGCAGGTCGAATTCATTCTCTATTTTGAAGACCAACTTGTTAGGACTGTCAAAACGCCGCTCTATTGCGTACTTACCAGTCTTACGCAGCGCGGGTAGAACTTCCTCAAAGACCCAATCGCGGAACTCTACGGCCCGAGGCAGTTTGGAGCTGAATATCAGTTCATACAAACCAGGCTCAGAGATAAACACGGAATGTGGCTGCATAGTAAGGGTGTCGCGATTCACGACCCCTTTTAACTCAGACAGTCTTTTCTTGTACTTATCCGAAACGTGCGTGATCAAAGCATCTCTAGCATTGGAATATCCTAATGCCGCGGCGACCTCCTTTCCCTTGAAGTACAGTTCATCGCCTTGCACTATGCATTGCAGTTTGGTGTTGTTGTTTTCGAAGACGCGTAACATGGTATATCTGAGAAATATTTTAACTTTCCTTTCGCTAGCCTAGTACGCAACGCTCCTTAGCTGATTCATTTCTATGCTCAACTGCGCGTCAGACACAACGAAGACGTAGCAGTTTATTTTGTCGCCGTCGCCCGCAGCAGCATTCTTTGTGCGCTTGATCTCCAAAGTGATGCCGTCCTGGGTGTTTACCAGCCGCAGACCCTGACCATGCATACTCTCGTCGTTGGTGGTGCGCATATCGATCCATAAGGCATACTTATCCATAAAGAATTCCTCAGGACTAATTTGGTCGCCAAACTTACGCATTGACTCCCTGTACGCGTCTGCAGGCTTTATTCCCTGGGAGTAGACCTTGTTAGGTACTCCGTTAATACTAACACCTACGTTGGTAATGTTGGGGTTAAAGAACGCCTCAGAGTCTCTACCACCCGCGGTATACGTCTTTGCGAACAGCAACAATAACCCGGTAAGACTCCTTCGGGGTATGTTAATGCTTTCATTGATGACTTCAGGGCCATTGTTTTGGAAGCTAAACGTCTTATACATCACTACATGGTCGTAAAGGAACGCCTTCCCCGAGCTGTATTCCATGCCGGCGCTACGAGCCAGCTCTTCGCTATATATCGTTTCGTATTGCAGCTCTAGGCTGGTGATGGAGTATGGGGTTGTCGTGCTAGGCGCAGAGCTTAACCCGCCAACGATGTTATTAGCATCTGCTAAAGTCACTTCAAACTGTAGTTCACTTAATTGTCTGGGGTAGTACACACCATGACTCGTAATTACTTCGAAGTCCAGTGGTATGACATACTTAGTCCCATAGACCGTCTTTAGTTCCTTTGCCTTRGCCACGGCCGTTTCCCCGCTGGAGTCCGTAGGTTGCGTTTTCGTAGGCGTGCGAACCTTACGAAGAATGACACTACCAATTCCTTGTTCTATCCTTTGCGCGCGGTCGAAGGCCGTCAACCACAAATCTTTGTACGTGGTATACAGATCGTACCTGTTCAAACCCAAGAGGGATTCCCCGCCAAACTTGACCCTCATCTTAGAGACAAGGTTGCGGCCCGCGTTGTTGACGATAATCCTAGAGACAAGGTTGCGGCCCGCGTTGTTGACGATAATCCTTTCGTCTGTGGGGTCAGACTGCACCGCTAGGTCAAACCTTARAGCCAAGGTGCCAGGAACYAABACTAGGTTATCCGTTAGGCGGGGYACGCCTACGTACAAGGTTTCTCCTGGCTTTGCGCTGCTGGGGGTAAAGGTGACCCGGTGAAAGGTGCGTTCTGCCTTTAGTCCGCCAACCTGCTTAGGTAATACGTTGGGGTTTAACTTTGAGCTTATCATATATAATGGAAGTAGAAGGAACGGATTTTGACCCCCTTACCGAAGAAGGTCAAGTCGACATTAACGACGAAGAATACGACGCATGGACCCAAGGCGCGGAAACCGACCCCCTAATCTACGACATGGCCCTAGAAAACAAGTATGGCAATAGGTGGAAAAGCTTCAAGGCCTCCTTGAATCGCATGTGGCAATCAAGGAACCGCGGTAAGTCCGTCCCCGAGCACTTAGAACTTCGGGATATGAACGAACAGGGAGCAACCGCGCGGGAAACCGTAGAGTGGGCAACGCAAGAGCTACGGATGCGTTATCCCAATTTCGAGGCTGACGACATAAAGCTCACAGAACACGGTAATAAAATTCTCATAAGCGTCAGAGACATGAGATATCCCGACGCTAACCGTTGGACCAAACCACAACTTATCTTCGCTGATAGTGGCTCAGTTAAGGTTAACGTGGCAAGATTAAGGGGCTTCCAAGAGGCTACCCGAAGTGCGCTAGAAAGGTTGGAAACCCTGAACGAAAGGGTCGCGTTAGAAAAACGCGCTGAGGGGCTGCAGGAAACGTTGAAAGAAAAGAAAGCAAATTACGAAATGCAAATACAGCGGCTAACCGATGCACAAAAGAAAGAAATCGAGGGTAAGAATGAAATCATACTGCAAATCAAGCGAGAATGTGAGACGGCCTTAGATGAAAGAGACCAAGCCAGAAAAGCTTTCGAACTTGCCCTGCAAGACCTGAATATTAGCAAGGAAGAAGCCAAAAACTTGCATGTTACCGTAGCCGGCTCTTTGGAGGAACGGCGGCAGTTGGTTGCCGAAATTAACACCAAGGAAGAGCAAATTCGGCAAATGAGCCAGGCCATTGAAGACCTGGAGGGGCAAATAGAGCGGCAACAGGAAATAATCAACGACCAGACTCGTCCCGAAGAGGAAAGGGAGGCTGCCCAAAGGGAAGTGGAAGCCCTTCAGGAAAGAGTTGCAGAATTGCATGCGCAAAAGGACAACCTGGAAAAGGAGTTGGGGCTTACCACCAAGGAAAAGGTAAAAAGAGCCCTTTTGAAGTATGGTATTCCGTTGGCATTTGCGGTCGCTATTAGCACCGTAGTAGGAATAATCTTGTCCGCGCTTAAGGCTACGGGCGCGGGCGTAAAGCAATTAGGCAATGGACTGACAGACTTAGGGAAAAAGATGGCAGCCGGTCTTTCTGGGCTGCTTGGTAGCGTGATTGGCCTGGCACTTAGGGCCGGCGGCGAACTGTTAAAGTTCGTGGGGAATAACATCTGGATCTTGGTAGTAGCTATCGGGGTGGTTCTTTTGAAGAAGATGAAGGGTTAGTCTTGTCCTTGCGTGTTGCTGGGGGCTTATCTTGAGGCATTCTCGACTGGGGATAAGTAAAAATAGTATTGGCCCCGCCTTGGTAATTTGGTATCAGAGGCATAGCGGTAATCGTGCTAATGGGCTTATGACTCCAAGTAGCATCTGCAGGAGAATCATGCGTAGAATAAGCGGCGTTTATCCCAACGAAGCCAGCAAACGCAGAACTCGCACTCAGAGCATCGCTGGGACGAATTTGAAGCTTTGCATATTGACAATTAGCTATCATATGAAAAGTCACCAACGTTAGGTTCTCCGCGCTTTTCGTTGGGGGCTCAAACGAAAAATGAGCCGAATGCCGGGCCTTATCCTTTTTCCTGTAAGGTAGTAATGGGTCGTTGGTTTCATCAACTAGCCTAAACCCCACGTTACAGCTATTCCAGCCACTAATGCTAATGGTACACATAATCAATCCCAAACCACCAACTCTTACCCACAGGTCAGTATCATACCATTTATCCACATGGCGGCTCTTATCTTCTAAGTAATAGGAAAACCAATCCTCCTTTGCGTGTGGGTTCATCATATACAGTAAGTCTTACGAACTTATAACCGTCAAAGTGCTAATGGTTGCATGGTTAAAAGGCTTATCTCTTTGGTCCTCCATGCTATTTACGCAAACGCTCCTGGTATCATCTACGCGTATCTGCAGCTTTACCTTCCCATGGCAATCGGCGACCATGTGAAAAGTCCAAACGGAATGATTTTCAACACTGCCGGGGTTTGGCTCTACGGAGAAATGCGTAGGCTCCCTGTTGTTCGTTCTCGCGCGCATAGGCTGCAGTATGCCATTGTCATCCAGGAACCTAAAGCCGACGTTGGCGTGGCTGCTCGTACCAATGCAAATACTACATATTATCAGCTTCTTTCCAGAGTAGTTCAGGTCT